CTAAATTGCTTACAGAAGGGCCTACAAGAAATGAAGGAAGCTAGTTCATGTTAGATGAAGTATAAAAAAAGGAGGATGATGGAGGCATGGAAGGAGTGGTCAAAGTGGCTAAGAAAATGATATTTCTGTGATGGTCTGATATCTATTTTGTATCACCAGAATGTGTTTATCAAAGATATAATGATGAATTAATTCAGATACAAGATATCTAGCTAAAATTAGACATGAAAGTTTATCTATCTGGATGGATAGGAAAAACCTTAGAGGTATAATAAAGAAAACATATAAAAGATACCAGTACAGCCAAGGTATAGAGACCTGAAGAAAAGAAAGCCTGAGTCAAAGTTAACACCCACCCTAAAAGTCTTCTTTACTGTTTTGGTTTCTGAAAGAGTAAATGGAATGAACTAAAAAGAAACAAAAGAGCCTAGGATTATTCTAAACTTGCTTTTATAAACTGCGTGCATATCTCTGATATGATATGTAGTGGGTCATTTGAGGTTAGGAATTCAGAATCTTTCATTGAGGAGGTGGTAATGATGGGATGCAGATGGAGAAATGACAAAGGGAATAGATAGAATGCTGCTGGATGCAATCTCTCTGTTCCTCTCCAATCAACAAAATTATTCTTGTATTTAGTATTCAGCTTCTTTGTTTTTAAAGACCAAAGTCTTGTCTCCTTCAGGCTCTGAAACTTAATCGGAGATTTTTAGTTTCATGTCTTGGCTTGTAGCAGGGACATAAGATACTAATACAAGACGTGGACCTTGGTGTCTTTATGAAAGGAAGCTGTGGCCTGTGAAAATATTTGCGACCTCATAAAGAATATATCTAGTGAGGAAAAGTAATCGAGAATTTATTTTTAGCATGCACTTGGTTTCATATTGAGTGCAGAACCCTGATGTTTTCTGGCTTTTCCAGTGTCGTAGCAAGCAGAGAGGAAATTGGTGGTGGGTACAGCATGGAGTAGAAGGCACAAGGGACCACAGCTGCTAATCTCAGCTCTGATACTGGGCGACTGTAACCCCGGACAAGTCACTTTGCTTCACAGTTCCCTATCAGTAAAGAACAGGAGGTTAATGCTTGTTAATACTTGCTTCTCTCATGTGAAATGCAAGGATTAGAAGAGCTGGTGTGAGTCCAGAGCATCCAACATGTGAGACCTAAGTGCTTTTACAGCATCATTTGTCCTAATATAGGTCCTCTCTGTATTATCCCAGCATGTAGTGTGCATGCCGCCAGCCAGAGGCTGGGTCTTTCCTTTCCTTGAACCTCCTTGCAATGGCTCTTACAGAGTGGGTTTTCGTATGTTTTCACAATGGGAGGACTGATGCTGTCAATCTTACATAGATAGGATTAAAAAAAAAAAAAATAAAAGCTTCATTCACCAATAAGTTGCTTTTCATCTCTAAATGTAATAGGAGAGTAGTTCTGGTTACTGTTCCAGGATTTTTAGAATTTGCTTGCTTGCTTAGAATAAATGGGAAAAGTAGTACTATAGTGAAATGAGAACCTGTCATATCTGGGGAAGATAAAAGGGAAAGAAAACTCGGGAAAATGCTTCTTAGTGTTTTTCACCCCTAGAGGCTACGTGTTATTTACCTTCTCCTAGATCTTCCAAGAGCTGGCATTGGCATACTTCCAATCCTATAGCACTTTGCTAAAGTAAAGGATTTTAGACACTGATGTGAGCTCAGGAGATCTGGATTCTTTTCTGTGCCATGGATTCAGGAAAGATGTAATGTCTGTATGCCTTATTTTCCAGCCTCTGGAATAATGTTCTTTCCCTTGCTTTTTCTGTTTGGCTTTTCAGAGTGTTTATTCTCTTCTTCTGTGGAGTCACTTAGGCACACTCACACATACACAGATGGATACATACAGATATACAGCACTTAGTGGGGTTTGTGTAAGCTGTGCAGTGATAGAACCGGTGCAACACTTGGAAATGTTTAAACCCCTCTTACTGTCCTGTTTGGAAATAACAAGTGTACTACTACTACTGTGCCATGAATTGTGCCAGCAGAACATTGGCTTGCACAGAGATGGAGGCAGGTGCTGAATTATGCCCTTGTTTAATGGAAAATCTCCTAGTTGGGGGCTATCCTAAAAAACCCATGTCATACTAGCGGGAACAGGGTTGGCGGGTGACCAGCTGCAAATCTGAACTCAGGAATCCTAGCTGCAACATAGCCACGTAGTACTTGTGGAGTGATTCCTGCAGCATTTATATCTTGCGCTCATCCACTGGGGAATGTGTTTGTCGTCCTTCTCACTCATGTCACGTTGGGGGCTTTGTCAGATCAGAATACATCGTCGCTGTGCTTCTCTGTGTCCCTCGAGTTGTCATAGGCACAAATCTTTTTCAAATGCTCTCCCCTGTTCATTTCCATTATTATATCTAGTGCTTCTAGGTGGCAAGCAAAAAATGAATAACCTTGTAAATGCTCCCTGTCTTTCAATTTGTTTTATTTTTCATACAACATGTCAGTGCATTTTTGTTGAGTGTTTTTAATAAGATGAAGTTGATGAAAATAAATTGCTTTGCAGTTCCTGCTGTGGGTGACAGAAATGCTGGGTCTGTAATTTTCCAAAACTGCACATTTGAAAGCAGTGTGGAGGGTGTTCTATATGCCTGTAACTGCAATCATCTTTGTAATATACGTCCCAGAAAAGGAAAGCAGCTAGCAATTTGAATTTTGGGGGCAAGATGCACTGCTGGTATCCAGCTTCTGCTGGGCACAGTGAGAGAGGGAGCTGTCAAGAGGAATCTTAGGATTGATTCTGTGCCAGGCTTGAGTCTGCCATATTGGATAGTTAGCCACATCTGTCTCTAATGTGAGACAGAGAATGAATTATATAGCAAACCCTCTTATCAGATTGTCTCCTAGCCAAGGCTTAGACAGCAAGGACTGGGACTTGACCATGTGGATACCCCAGTGCCTCTGGTTACTGCATATCAGCTTTCTTCTGAGCATTTCAATGACTTACTCAAAAAATGTAATGTGAATACACAGTGATCTCCAAGTTACCAAGGTGTACTCAGTAAACAGTCTAGTAACTACTCATCTGTCTTTGAGAGAAAATAAGCCAGATATTCCAAATGTGATTTTCAAGTTAAGATTTTTCTTTTTTTACTCATTTTAATGAAAGGGGGAAAATTCAGTATTACCATATTTCTTGTAAATGTTTCTATTTTGATAAAATTGCAGAAAATAAAAAATTCCCTGAAGTTTATAATTTCATTTTGTTGTCCACTTTTTGTGCTTTTTTAGTACATATTTAACTGGAAGACAGTATTAATGTCTGTCTTACTGCAGACTTTGCTTTATTTCTGTAAGTCAGGGAAGTGCTTTCTCCATATATTAGGTGAGAACTGACACATGGAAGTTGCTCAGGAGCTGATGATTAACCAGGAGCTCAGGTTCCACTTTTGCAACTTCAAGGCTAATACCATTATCATTAAGGCAGTTTTACTTTCCTCAGAACTGCTTTTAGTCCTTCTTCTGTCCTATATTTTTGGAAGCATTGAAAACAGTAATAATTAAGACTCCAAATTGATAACAGTCTTCTTCACTTTCCATTTCAAATTCAGAAATTTCCTTGGAGGTTATGCTGCTTGAGGTACAGAAAAGACAGTATTCTGGATTAATTATTTTTCATTGTCCACTCAAATTTGAAGAAGTGAATTAATGCTGGTAGTAAAACTATCCTACTGTAAAGCAGGATTGATGGATCATAGTGCACGTACAGTTCAGCCTGGTCTGCTGTGCTGTTGGGAGGCAGGGACTGAGCAGTACATTCAAAACTTGGAAAAATAACTAATTCTTGTTTGCAAGTTTTCTGGTGATGTCTTGCAAACAAATTGCCAAAGGTGCGAATCCACTGTTCACCTGTACCTTGATGCTTTACACTGATGTTTATACTTGTTATTTCAGATTCTGGGTAAATTATCTCACTCTGTAATTTCTTCATTCTGTATTAAAATAGCATGTGCGAAGCAAAAAAAGCAAGGAGATGCTAGGCCCCAAAATCATAATGGAGATGGAAAAAGTTTATGGAGATTTCAAGCAATCCTCTTTCTTAGTCCATATTATATCTGGTTTGTTTTTAAGTGGTTCTGTTGATGGCGTTCCTGCCACTTTCCTGGAAAACTGTTTCATTCCCACTATTCGGCAACATTTCCAGAGATTTATACTGTTTTCCTCTGCTTGGCTGCCTTTCATTTCCCCAAGTTACAACAAGATGGTCCACCTATGGCAAGTTCTTTCCTTGCAGAAGGTTTTACTTTTTGCTCTATGACTACCAGGAGTGCAATATGAGGCCTGGAATTTCCTCTATCGCTCTTAGGCCCCCTTCGTGCCGTGTTTAGTCACTCAGTGTCACATTTTTCACATGTGAGTTGCAAGGACAGGAAGCTACTCCAGCAAATAACTGGTGTTCAGCAGCAAAATCTGAATCTTTTATGTAGGCTACACACATGTTGGGGTTTTTTTTTCCATAATTTACATGGTTCACCTTTTTTTTAATTTGCTCTAATTTGTTGACATCTGTCTGATTCTTTCTGAGTGAAGCTTTGCTACAGCTGTTTTATGAAAGAACTGTCAGCTTGGTTAAAGGACCTGAGGCTTCCTGGTACACGGTCTTACTCCACTGTAACTTGAAGAGCTGCTGTGGAACCTTATTCCTGATTATTCTCTTCTTCCCCTCCGGTCTTTTGAGTAACTTTCTGCTTCTTGATTCTCTCTCACTATGATATTAGATGCTGAATCCAACAGTGTCAGGTCTGAAGTTTGCAGGACCCCTGTTAAAAATACTAATCGCTCCTGATTTTAAAATTCTGATTCTCCTCCGCTGTTATTTCTGGAAGTGTTCTCCTTGACCACTATGTAGAAGCGTTGATCTCCTTGACCATAAATGGAAGTGTTTGTGTACAACTGCGTGACTGTGAAGGGGTTGATATGATCACGTACTTAGAAAATCCTGGCTTTATTATTTTCTAGGTATTTGGTGCTAGAACATGTGTCAGGTGGGGAGCTCTTCGACTATCTCGTAAAAAAGGGAAGACTGACACCAAAAGAAGCCAGGAAGTTCTTCCGACAAATCATCTCTGCTTTAGACTTCTGCCATAGTCATTCAATATGGTGAGTACAGCCATTTCCACAGGAGTTACCTGTTACATAAAGCACATAATAAAGGGATCTTACCTTGATATTTTTACTTTCTGATAAATTACTGATGTTGTAAAGCTCTAAAAGCATTGGGTAAAATAATGATGTATTTTTTAATTCTTGACCATCTATGAGACAATGTACCAGTCACAGATGGACTTGTCATGGAGAAGATTGTCTGTCATTTTTCACTGGAGGAGAATTCGTTCACAGGTAATGCTTTAAACAGAAAAACCAAAACTACCAAAGAAAAACAGTTTCATTTCCATAATTTTTGGGGCACTTACTAATAATTAAGATTATATACACTATATCAAAATGAATCCCTGAAGAAACCTGGGACAATTGCAAATACAGCAAAGTCATTTTACGGCTTCCTTCATTTTTTGAAAACCTGCTGGCTTTTGGCAACCTTCACTGAGTCCCTTCTGGGCATTTGAGTCACCATTGCCTTTAATTTCCTTTCCAGTAGGGAAGAATTTTCTTATACTTTCTAATTCCATCATATTATTTAACCATCGGGTGTGGTTTAACCTGTGATATCAGGTGGTGTTTTAAATTGGACCGATTTCTCCTTCATCTCCAGCAAGTTTAGGTAATTTAAATTATACTGAAATCAAGTTGTTGTAATCAGTCTGAGCACAAGAGTTTCTGTATAGCTGCTGACCCATAACTGCCTGTTCCTTGCTCTCATAAATGCATCTCCTTGCATTTAGATTGGCTGAGGGAGAACATCTACATTATGTCTGCGTGACTGCTTCTCCATAGCCACAGCCAGCCATAGATCCCCAACTCCAGGAGGCCAAGGGCCACAGATAGATATTGCAGTAGCTGGATTTGCATAATCACTGTGTGGTTACTTCTCAGCAGCCTTACAGGGATTTTCTGTACCCCCAGTTCTGTGCTGAAAACTCACAAACCAGATGGCCCCAGCATAAAAGGCTACAGCAAAAATGGATGCTTAAATATTTAACTTGCTTTTTTAGCCCTCCCCCATCATCTCTGACTCATTTCAACAGGAAATAGTAATCAGAAAGAAAGCATATTTCTAAATGGAAAGAAGAGCCTTTCTTGAGGATATATTGAGAAAAGTGTACTGTTAGCAGAAGAGACAGTTCAAAGGTGGTAGATCTGGGTGAGATGGTCCTGAGGACAATGTCTACCTGGTACAGTCAGGGTTACAATAGTCAGAGAAATTCCCAAAAAGGCCAAGAGCAGGTTGCATGCCCTAACTAGAAGATCTAAGTTTACTCTGTTGGCAGAGATGTCTGATCAGTTCTATTCTATGAATTCCACAATTTTTCCTCCCCACTAATCAACTGCACTGAGTGATCCTGACCATTTTAGAACCAGCATACAACCTTGGTAGGTTGCAGAGCTGTTATTTTTTATGTACACTGGGCAGTGTAACCACTGCTGGATTGCATACGTACATGTTTCTGTTTCCTAGTTGGCTTAATACTTAGAAATCCAATCCAAGAAGACTCGAAAATGTTTAAGTACAACTGAAGAGAAATTATTTACTCTTCCAAATGAATATTCTGGAGAAATCTGAATCTCCATTGGGATAGTTTGTACTAAAAAATGCATATATGCACATACATGCTAGTCCTTTGGGCTTATGATGGATACCTCTTGATCTGGGAGACTTTAATAAACTGAGTGAGGATCATGGTGAGTCTCATGTCAGACAGACAGGCAAGCATCTCTGCAGGTTTAACAATATGTGAAATCTTCAAGGCAGAGTGCCTTTCTCTCTTGAGGAATCCATTTTCCTCTGTTAAGCATATTGGATTGTGGGCAGTAGTCTTGCTAATAAGTAAATCCCCTGTCTCCTTGCTAACTCCCACTTGACTAGCATCTAGTTCTGAATAAGTTAGCAGTAAATCATAAGCTCTCCCTCCAGGTCACTCTGAGACTCGTGTGGTCTGTGTTATATTAGATTCTGTGTTGTATTCTAGGCAGTTATCAGAAAATCAGAGCATGCATAAATACGTATGTGTGCATGCGTGTGAGTATAAAAGTTAATGTGCTTTCCTAAGCAATGAAGCCTGACCTTGTCCTGTCATGGGGCAGTGAAATGACAAATCATCTCATCAGCCAGGTTATCCAGTTATGACCACGTTGAAAAATGAAGGCTTCTGCTTTGGTTAATGACTAAATGTGTGTGCTTCTGACATACTGGCAGAATAGATTGATGGTCTGCTATCCCCAGCCCCATATCATTGTCCCATCTTCTTCCTGTACCTCCCAAAACACTCTGAAATACCTGTGGCTTACTTTCACAGGAGTATGTAACCACAGTCAGCATTCACTGCTCAAAATGCATTGACACACCAGGATTCCCGAATCAAAGATTCAGGAAGGATTCCCCAATCCTCCCATCAGTAAAAGGCTTTTGCTGCTCCTGTGTGGAGAGATAGCCTCTGTCTGAGAGGTGTTTTCAAACAAGCAGCTGAGAAAAGGAAGTCTGTTTGTGTGTTGTTTTAAAAATGTATGTGCTTTCTGTTCTTGTTCTATTTACTGGAAACAATGGGGGAATATTTGATGTACCTCACTCTGTGGTGCAGTCACCTATGGGGTTTTTATGATATAGGTTGTCCACGGGAGAATGCTTATAGATAACCCACTGTAGGGTCCTCTGAGGACTTCTGTGTGTACATAGCACTGTGCCAGGCTAGGGACCCACAGGCAACCGTGCAGCAAACTGAGCACCATGCAGAGGTATCTCGTGGGATCCTGTGTTACCTTGCTGCTTTGCCTGAGCTGGCAAGCCAAGCAGTTAGCTCAGTGATGCAGCATTATTGCTTCTACTTCAGCTCTCCCTCTGTGCTTGCTCTGAGGGCTCTGCGCTGCGCTGCAGTGCCTGGAGCAGACGCACTCGGCAGCGGTGCGAGAAATGGCAGAGGAACTTGAGGTTCCTCAGACATCAGTTTAAGACCATCCAAGCCTGGGAAGTTTTCTTTGGACAGAGGTGATGATGATTGTTTTTTTTCCTAAGCTGCCATTCACCTAATACTGGGTGTCCACTTTCCTGAATTCAGGGCCTTTAAGATACCTCTGCTGGGTGCCCCAAATCAATAGTCCCTTTTGAATGTCCTGCCTCCCTACTGTGGGAGAGCTCTAGGCTAATTCAGTGCCGACTGTATTTTCTGTCGGAAAGAATGTGGGAGCACGTATTGGGGTAGGTCACAAATCCTTGGTTTCCTCGGGAAGAGCCTCTTTGATGTCGGTGTTGGGGATGCTGCAGCGGCAGCCGCGGGTGGGAGCGGAGGGAGGGCTGGCGGGAGCCGCATTGGCTGGGCGTGACATCACCGGCGGGAGCGGGGATTGGCGCCGCGCATCCTCCCGGCCCTGGGCTCCGGCTTTGGTCGGGCTCATATTCGGTGTCTGCATCTCACAAGCTGACAAATAAAAATATGATTACAGAAAATGCCCCGTGGCAAACCTTATTATGGCTTCAGAGGTAACAGATAATGCCAATTACTGCGCAGGGCAGTGGTGACATTGAGAGGAAATCCCCTGCGGTAATGAGCAGTGAGATGATTATTTCATTTTATTTTTATTTTGGTTGCGTTTCATTTTGTGGTTTTGGTTTTTTTCCCTGAGCATACACAAGAGGGGTTAAGGCAGGTTCTTTATGAATATTGATAAATGACAATTATGAGGGCCCTTTCTCCTTTCATTGCCTGGGGCTGTGCTTGTTCGAGCACACACAAGGAAGGCTCTTGCTGAAGTGTGTCTATGTGTGCATGCGTAGGCATGGGGGTGTGTGACTTAAAGGGCTGAGGCAATGAATAAGAGCTTTGTTTGACTTTGTCTTGTGTTCTTCCCCTCAGTGCAGAGGGGGAAAGGCTCCTCATAAAATAACACATTCACAGCAGTAGTGCCAAAATCTCTGGTATATTCCTGCAGGCAGAAGCTGCAGAGCACTGTCAGTAAGGAAAGCATCCTTTTAGGGACAAATCTGGGGTGTCTCTGAGAAGCGGAGAAAGCTGAAGAATGCCAGGTGCCATGTTCTGTCAGATAGTGCCACCCTCCTCATGACTCCTGCTCTGCCTTACTTCATAAGGAGCCTGCTGTGGTGTTCTGCAGGGAGGTTCTGTCAAATGCTGAATACTGCAGCAGTTGGACACTTTGAAATCATGACTCAAGGCCTCCAAATGTGAAATTGGTCTAGAAATTGTGGAATTTAATAAGGTTGGTTGCTGTTTTGGATTTTTTTCTGGTCCTTGAGTCTTTAGGTTTTCAAGTTCTCTTTCAGGCTATCAGAAGTGAGAAGGGTACGTTTTTCCCCTGTTGAGAGCTGATATTCACCAATCATTACCTGAATCCAGGAGTTTCAGATCTGTGATCAAGAGTCACAGTAAAACAGTGAGGAATTTTCAGATAACCCTTGTACAGGAAACCGGAGAAAACCCATCAAGTGTAGCAGCTGCAGTGCCAAAGGCAAAGTTACCAGCTCAGCTGAAGTCAGAGAACATGTATTTTTGTAAGTTTACTTCTTTATATAAGCCACTGGAGACTCAAAAATAGCATAGTCTTATTGTAAGCATAGCCAGGTAAGATTCTCTGGCAAGTACAGCAGTAGTGATCAGACCTGACCAGTTGTTCTGGCTTTGAAATGCATGACTATATGTTTTGAGGAGAGGTTGGTAGGGAGAAACAATACATTTTAATTGATTAATGAAAATAATTGTTAAAAAAGCAAGCAAATGTTTTATGCATACAAATCCTTCCCCAGGATTCCTGATATGTTTATAGATGTTGTCCCTTTTCCTAGCTATAGTTATATTTACTTGCTCTGCAGAATTTTGTGAAAACTTAATAAATTTGAGCATAGCAACCATGGCTGTAAACAAAGATTCTTCTGTAGGTAGATACAAGTTACGTGTTTGGATCTGATTTGCAGAAGCAGGAGAAAATAAGATTAAAGGCTTTTTCTGTTCATGAAATTTAAAATAATGCTTCTC